CATCACGAAAATTCTACGCAGCAGTTTTCATATGGTTTTCCGATTGCCCAATACACCCGGAGTTGATTGTTGATAGTTTTCTTCAGCCACTATGTCGTCTTACCTCCCGTAGAGAACTGCTTATCCAAAGCAATAGCACTAACTGTTGCAACTTCATCGAACACGCCAACGATCTGCTTAAACTGTCCCGCTTCAAGGAATACCAGCAACCCCTTTGGAGAGGGATGGTGAGGGGAGTTTGGTAAAGAGAGATGAAAAAACCGATTTGTACCTTCCTCAAAAGTTGTCCTAGCTCGCTATTCTAATATCTATATGCAATCTTCACACTGCCGTACTCTAACGGAACTATCTACTCCATCTATCGTATAAAAATTACCACTACAGTCTGTTATTTGAAATTAGCATCTTCAACTATGTAAATTCTTTGTAGATCCCTTGAAAAAGATGGAATATACCATTGAAACGTTGGGAGTAGAGGAAAAACATCGTTTTACTCGCTAAAAGACTGAAAGTCGATAAAATTTATTTAGAAAACAGTCCACAAGTCGATAGCATTACTATAATTATGAGATTGGCATGATCACAAACGCAGCATCGCAACCTAGATTTGAGATCTACAACATTCGCACTGTACGAGTTGATGGCTGTTGTTAACATAGAATTTTGAAATAAAACGAATAAGTAACAGATCAAATGAATGTAAATATTTTTTGAATCACCCTAACATGGAAACCGTTACCCTTATGACAAAATAAAAAAAAAACTACCAGGTACAGCCCTATGGGGTTGCACGCAATGGTGTCGTAGGACTACGTGGTCTTATATAATAAAGGTTATTTGTTAACTGATGCAGGAGCTTGTGTTTTGTGTAGAAATAGGAATTTGAGTGGGGTTCTCTCTGTTTATACTCTTTAATATGACTATGATTGCCATGAAAAGAATCTTTTGATATGAATTTTTGTTGGAACATGTTCAGAAATTTAACTCTTTTGGAAAATCTTGGTGGACCTGAAAAGGGCTGATGATAGTACAAGCTTAAAGCGCCTGGAAATTGATGATGACGTGTAGGCAGCTGGATCAGCAAATCGGACCGGACAATCCCATATTCTTCGGTTCAATGATTGAGTCTCGGCCCGTTTGCTGCTGGACAGTGGTTGAACTGGTGTCCGCGACAGGTTAGAAGGCCGTAGAATATCAGTGTCCAACCAGCTAAAGCTCCTTCCCTTTTAAGTTTTTCTCGTTAAGCTCCTTCTATCAACAAGTTGGTAAATCAGAAAGACGCTTAACACTTTTTTCGGCTAATGTATGATCCAGTTTCACGTCATGGTTCTTCTTTATGCCTGTTCAGATAAATTTGTAATTTGATTTATTTTCTCTACTGCGGTAAATTAAGAAAGGATGTCGGCTAGAAAAATCTTTACAATTAATCGTTAATCGAATAATTGAACTTTTAGGCATCTCTAGAAAATTGTGTTATTTCATGTTTTGACAAAGAACTACGTCTTCGATTTCTATATGGGGGTACACTTTGTGAAAACCGAAAATGGAACATGTAACAAATTAAGAAAGATTTTTAACGTTAATAACTCAGCTGCGCCTAGTCCAATTTCAATAATTTTATCACCAATCGATCCGAAATATGGCTACGCATCGATCACAATGCTTGCAAATGTTGAAAAACTGGTAAATGTCCAGCATTGTCCAAAAGCGTCGAATTAACTAACAAATTACATGCATATGCTACTTCCCCAGCACAGTCATCAGAGAGTAGTAAGTAGCCGAAACAAGTCAAAGTGGCATTCGCCTCCGATCCGGGCGCGTGCGAATAGGGAGGATGGAATTGCGTAATATTTTGCATACTCATCGCCATAGTCAGAACCAAACGCAAATTCTTCGAGATAACTAGGGAGTTTTCCATAGGAAACCATGAGACAAATTTACTCATCGCTGAGTTCCTGCACTTTTGGCGATTATGAGTGAACTAAACTCAAATTTGAGTCGTTCTCATTCGCCTTGTACGCAAAAGGAAAAGAGCCAGTGTCGCTACTTGATAGCAAACTACTCATAATGGGAAGAGTCTTTTATACCACTTGGTAGCACATCATTCTGCTTTAACCTGAAAAGATATAAAAGAGCGCTGCTGTATGGCGTTAGCTCATTTTCGCTTCGGACGGCGTGGTGAACAGCAATGGCAGCAGTAGAAAGGTGGTGGCTAGTCCACTCCTTCACACCTAACAAGCAACAATTGACTGGTCGTGGCAAAGGAGGAAAAGGTCTGGTAAAGGAGGCGCCAAGCCTCATCGCAAAGTTCTTCGAGATAACCGCCATCGGTCGTCTGGCTCGTATCTCCGGTGTGATCTACGAGGTGTGCTGAAGGTGTTCCTGGAAAATGAGGTCCGTGATGCTGTCACCTACACTAAACACGCCAAGCATAAGTGGCCAAAGATGTCCTCCAAAGATGTTACATCAGTAAAGAGTTGGTGTTGCCACTGGTGTGAATTCCACTTGGTTTTTCGGACCTCTTTATAGCAAACTCTGGTTTTTCCGTAGAGTAAGCTTTAAGCTACAAATTGTGATTTTTATTAGCTAGATTATAATAATAAATTGCATAAAACTTACAGATTTTAGTCCATTAATATTTAAGAATTCACGTCGTAGCTGATTGTTTGTGTTTGCTGTTGGTGTCTAAATTTTATCGTATTGTACATTAGATTATAAGTTTAATTAATCAAATATAATATAAGTTTACCTCCAATTCAATTAATATAAGTAATTTTAACTTCGTAAACTAGAATTTTAATAATACAATTTAGGATAAAGTTTTGTCAACGCACATTTTAATTCGTCTACTTTGTGTCTTTGTTCACTTGTAAACAGTCATTGTCCGCTTGTACTCTTTGTCCGGATTGAAGGTTTACATCAAAGTCAAAGCTATCCGTTATCCGTATTCAATGCCTAACGTTACGGATCGACGGTGCAAGGTGTGTGCTTGCAAGGTGAGGACTGTCGCGAACATCCCCCGACCCGTATTGCTGCAGACTTCCATCAGCTATACCTCCATCCATCACGTCCAACACTGCCAGCTTTGTTACTGGTCGCCGGAACACGCCACTGCCTGTCTTCACATCAACGCTTCAAATCCTTCCATCTTTCCCTGGATGTGTCTTGAGGACCCTGCCACGAATCCAGCTGTTCCGTATAGCTTCATCCATGACGATCACCAAATCTCCCGCTTGCACTGGTTTGACTTCGATGAACCACTTTGTGCGGCGACTGAGGGTAGGGAGGTATTCCCTAATCCACCTTGTCCAAAACCTGTCCAAACAAGCCTGAACGTATCCCCAGTTGGTTCGGAGTGTAGTTGCAACGTCCACAGGCTGCTTTGCTGGTTGTACGACACCACTGGAACTCAACATCAGAAAATGGTTGGGAGTCAGAGCTTCCTCATGTTCTGCGCTCACGGGAACGTACGTCAATGACCTGGAGTTGACCATCGCTTCTACTTCGACCAATATAGTGCAAAAGGATTCCTCGTCCGGGTTCCTGGAGGTAGAGAGAGTGCCTAGACCAACCTTGACGGACCGAACTAAGCGTTCCCACGATCCACCCATGTGTGGGGCTGACGGTGGATTGAACCGCCACGACGTATTCCGATTGGTGAAGGTATTGGCCAATGAAATGTTGATTTGTGCTATCTCCCGCTTCAAATCGTTGCTTGAACCTTGAAAGTTCGTGCCCTGATCACTATAGATCTCTTGCGGAGCACCTCTGCGAGCAATAAACCGCCTCACCGCCATTTTGCAGGATTCTGTAGACAATGAGTTCGCTACTTCAAGGTGGATGGCTCGTACCGTCTGGCAAACAAACAGAGCCACCCATCTCTTGGCACTTGCTCTGCCAATCCGGATAAGGAACGGTCCACAATAATCTACACCCACGAAGGTGAACGGTCGAATGTACGCTGCTAGCCTGCATTCTGGAAGCGATGCCATACGAGGAGGTTGAGGAGTTGCCTTTCGAACGACGCACCATTTGTACGTCTTTGCTACTTTCCGGACCGCATTCCGCAAACTGGAGACATGGAACCTCTGTCTCACCTCGTTCACCACAGTCTCAGAGTTGCCGTGACCGTATTGTCGATGATACCAGTTCAAGATAAGGCCGGCGACGTAGTGGTTTTTCGGCAGAATAACCGGAAATCTAGTGGCGTACGGTGCATAATGAGCGGCACCAATACGCCCATCCATCCGCAGCATTCCTGCCTCGTCCAACATCGGAGACAACTTGCAAAGTGGACTGGTTCTCTCGAGTCTGGGGGCTTGTTCCGGAAATCGTTGATGTTGTTCTTCGACTGCGATCATTTCGTCGGGGTACGTTTCCATTTGTATCCAGCGAAAGAGTGTTTCCTCCGTGGACTGCAGCTCTTCCTGAGACAAATATTCACCGACTTCTGTTGGATCTCCACGCACCTTTCCGAAACAGTTAGCACAGAAGCGGAGCATGTACGCGGTTGCTCGCTGGAGTCTTTCCCACTTGGAGAAACGTCTGTAGTCGATCAATGGTTCGGTGATTTCACGATGATGTGCGTGGACGGTTCAAAATTCCTCTGGTATGTTCGGTTCTGGCAGCTCGTTGCCTGGCCATTCCGATTCAGCCTTGTAGAGGAACTCTGGACCCGTAAACCACCGAGAACCGTTTTTGAAGCATGGACCTTCTCCCGATTTTGTCGCCTCGTCAGCCACGTTCAGCTTTCCAGGAACTTTCCGCCATTCGCCCACACAGGTTTTGCTCAGGATTTCACCGACTCTCACTGCAACGAACTGTCGATATCTACGTTGGTCCGACTGGATCCAAGATAATACCGTGCTTGAATCGCTCCAGATCATTCGATGTCGTATAGGTAAGGTGTGGCTCTCTTGAACAGACTTCATTAGGCGACTTCCAAGAACTGCCGCTTGCAGTTCCAGCCGTGGAATGGACAGTGGTTTCAACGGGGCTACCTAGGACTTTGTTGCCACCAATGCGCAGCGTACTTGTCCTTCATCGATGATGCGAAGGTATGCCACGTAAGAAAATGCCACCAGACTTGCATCCACGAAGACATGTAATTCTATGTTGTCTAAGCCGGCACTGCTGTATCCTGGGAAGTAGCATCGCGGCACTGTTTCTCGATCCAGTCCTTTAAGTGCTTGCACCCACTGACGCCATCGACTGCAGATTTCCTCTGGAATTCGCTGATCCCATCCTATCTTGCTTCTCCATATGTCTTGCACCAAACACTTCCCGTGAACAACGTATGCTCCTACTAGTCCCAGTGGATCAAAGACGCTCATGACGACTCGAAGAACTTCTCGCTTGGTCGGAATCATATCGCCATTCAACAACTGCGCGACGTCTTCCCGCAAGCAAAGTCTGAATGTGAATTCGTCGTTGATGGGCTGCCATCGCATGCCGAGGACTCTTTCGATCCCTGTAGACTTGTCCGTCGCGAAGCTTTTGCATTCGCTTGCAGAGCTTTCCCCGACCCGTCGAACAACTTCTTCCGAATTCGACAACCAGTTACGGAGCTCGAACCCAGCCTTTGCATGAACTTGCTTAACCTCTGACGCTATTCGGATTGCCTCTTCTTCGGTGTCCCTACTGTCGAGGTAGTCATCGACGTAGTGGTTGTTGACTATTGCTTCGACGGCTTCTGGAAATTCTGTTCTGTTCTCCTCAGCATTCCGGTTCTTTACGTACTGCGCCAAGCATGGTGAGCACGTTGAACCGAAAGTGGCAACATCGATCACGTAGACTTCGACTGGTAGTGATGAATCATCATGCTATACGAAGCATTGCGATTGACGATCCCAGGCGCGAATGAGAAGTTGGAAAAACATTTCCCTAACATCCCCTACCACAGCTACCTGCCGCTGTCGGAAACGGTGTAGAACTGACTTGAGGGATCTTCCTTTCAGAAGCATGGAGTTTAATGACACGCCTTCCACCTTCGCTGCCGCATCCCACACCATACGGATCTTTCCTGGTTTGTTTGGGTTGATAACCAATCCCAACGGAAGGAACCAGGTACTCCGCGGATCAAAGTTCGCCAGTTCCTCCGGTGTCGCTTTATGGATGTATCCTTTGGCCTCCAGGTCAGCGATGTGTAACTTCACTTTGTTGTAAAGTTCCGCATCTGCAGTCAGTTTACGCTCGAGACACTTAAGCCGCCGCTCTGCCATCGGGCGGCTTTCGGGAAACTCGATACAGTCATAACGCCATAACAAACCCGTTTCAAATCTCCCAGATGGTGTACGAATCGTGGTTTTCTCCATGATTTCCCGTGCCCAACGATCATCATCTGTTTCGACTATCGGTGCGACCTTCACACCAGTACTTTCAACGGTGAAGAACTCCTCGACGAGATCATGTAGTTCACGATCGGTTGATCCCGAGCAAACGTGCAGAAGGCGATGTTCTGGTGGATCATCAAGGCCTTCCACGTTCCCATAGACTGTCCATCCTAGCTTCGTTTTCGTCGCAACTGGCTCCAGAGGTTTGCCGATCCGCTTCTTCAGTGTCACCATCAAGTCGGTATTGTCTAAGCCAATCAGGATATGTGGAACTGCTCCGCTGTAGCTGTTCACTGGTAGCCCCCGAAGATATGGAAATTGTTGTTCCATTTGTTCGAAGCGAAGAGATTGTGGAGGTAGCCCGAGACTTTCAACCGTTCTTACTCGCTCTAACATATATCGCTTGTCACCGCCAATACTGGAGATTCCCAACTGTACTACCTTGGATTCCGATTCCGTGCGTGTAACATTGTTTGTCCACTGAAGGCAAAGGGGTTCAATCACACCGTCGATTCCGAGCTGATCCGCAACTTCTTGCTCCATCAACGTAAACGACGACCCGTCATCCAAAAAAGCTAATATGTCGATTGATGAGTCCTTACCGTACAACCGCACTGGCACAATCCGGAAAAGAGTAGACCGCGAGCCTTGACGGTGCACATTCACCTTCGCAGTTGATTGAGAAGAGATGTCTTTGGTTACTGGAGTCTCCGCCTTTTCTGAATGCAACAGACTATGGTGCTTTAATTCGCAGCCATTCTGTCCACATAACGGTGCCTTGCAGGGCCATTTTCCATGGGATGCCAAACAGCGTCGACACAGATGTAGCTGCTGGACCAATTTCCAACGCTCATCGATGTTGCTCTTCTGAAACTTGTAGCACTCTTTCAGCTTATGGCCATTCTTCTGACACACTGGACATGGTTTCGGCTGAACTGGACCTTTTTCCACAGTGTTGACGTTGCGCTTCTATTCACCTTGCACCTTTACTCTATCACCATCATCCGCATGAGTGTTCAGGAAACCCTTTTCTTTCCCTTTCGGTTTCTCCGACTTCGAAGCTGCTGATGAGCGTATCGTTTCGAAGTCACTTTGAAACGTGACGTTGCTGGCAGCAGAGACAATTGTCGACATGAACTCCCCGAAAGCACGCAGATCTACAACAGGAATTCGATGTTGGTGAAGAGCCCAATCAAGTTTGACTCCCGCCGGAAGCTTATTCACCAGCTCTTGCAACAGAGTCGGGTTTGACAGATGGTTCTCCATACCCAACGAGCGCAGATGACCACAAAGATTCTGCACTACGAGACCGAAGCTGATAATACTCTCCAATTTGTCAGCCCTTGGTGCGGGAGTGGATCGAACTTTAGTGAGAAGACTGTTCACGACCAACTCCGGCCGACCGTACAATGTTCGCAAAGTTTTCATTACTTGCGGGACGGAAGATGGATGCAGAAGTTGATAGCTCACCGCACTAAGAGCATTGCCCTTCAAGCAACGCTGTAATCGCATCAGATTCTCTGCATCAGTGTAGCCACACATTTGGGTTGAGTTTGTGTAGCTACTGAAGAACAAAGGCCAATCCAATGGATTACCATCGAAGTGAGGAAGTTCCTTTGGCACGACATGCCGGGCAGCAAGTTGCTGGGCATTCGGACCACATATCGGAACGTTTGGTGGAACTACTGGCATCCTTGGTGGAACTACTGGCATCCTTGGCGGAACCCATGGAGATGGAATTGGATTAGGGTAACTAGGAATAGTCGTCACTATGGGGTGTGGTAGAGGCACACTGGAAGGTGCTGATGAGAGAACGGTATCCAAAGCACTACTTATTCTAACGTGGGAGTTGTTTCAGGGGTCGAATTCAACAATGGTTCCCTGAATCGTGGAGTGGGCACTTGATTTGCCGAAAAAGAATCTAACAGCTGGCTTGACCTACCTTCCCCCGGTACCCTACCGTGTTAACTTGAATCAGTTACAGCTGGAATTTGAGTCATCAGAATATCTCGATCCTGCTGGGACCGAAGTTGATTCGCTGACTGCCGTTGAAGATCGTCCATCTGTTGCTGCAAATCGAGTATCTGTTGCTCCAGTTTCCTCTGGGCCATCACTGCGTTCGACGAGATTTCGGAGAAAGTCTTCGCAAGTTCCTCTTGTTTTGAAGTTGGTGGAGAGATCAAATCGCTGAATGCAGGTATTGGATTACGAACGGGAGCCGGAAATGTATCGACGTTTGATACTGGAACTGATGCGCCGACCGCCTCGAAAAATTGGCCACTGACAGGGGCTGGTACTCCACCTACTGCAATGTCGTACAGCGAGTTTTCATCCGTATACCTGACCTGTGCTTGTCTCGATGAAATGCTTGTTATGACTGGTGTGGTTGGGTTCCTACTGGTAATTATGCTCCTTGCAGTGGTCCGTTTCGGGATCGTTCCAGTATACGATGTGGTAACTACTGGGACTTCAACGTTCCCAGCACAAGCTGCCATGATCGTTTCTCTCTGGTCTTCCAACCACCGATGAACCGTGCTTTTAGAGCTACGATTACTACGTAGGCTCCTCACACTCTCATTGTCGTCACCTTCATTCACGGACTGCAGAAGGTTGTACTTCCTGCCGATGAATTGCCTCTCCAATTCCCACCGTTGCTGATTCGCTTTCCGCTTGCTTTCAAGCTCTTGCTGCATCGATTTTTCTCGTAAAGCCTTCTCCTGCTCCTTAATTTCCCACATTAGCCTCTCCTGGACCGCTTCTCTTCCTCTATACGTTGCATTTGAAGTTCGACCCTTGCTTGAATGGCACTAGTGGTCGATGATTTCCCGACTTGCGAGGAGACAGGCGAATGACGATGTAGACACTGGGTACAACAGAAGCTTCGATCCATCACGGACTCATCAACCCCGACGCAGATAGAGTGATACCAGATTTCACACGAGTCACACTTGACCATCAAACGGTCCGTCACACCTGATCGGTCGCAAGCGGGACATTCGGTTTGCAATGCCGAGTCTTCCGATGCAATGATTCGCACTGAACAACAGGCGCGGCTAGTTTCATCCGGCATAGTTCACAACAATAATGTGACGAAGTTGAACAAAGTTCGAGTGAATAATCACAGCTGTGATTGATAGCGTCCGGATAACCTCAAATGCGTTAAAATCTCTTAAAGATTTGTTGCCACTGGTGTGAATTCCACTTGGTTTTTCGGACCTCTATATATGCTATAAAACTCTGGTTTTTCCGTAGAGTAAGCTTTAAGCTACAAATTGTGATTTTTATTAGCTAGATTATAATAATAAATTGCATGAAACTTACAGATTTTAGTCCATTAATATTTAAGAATTCACGTCGTAGCTGATTGTTTGTGTTTGCTGTTGGTGTCTAAATTTTATCGTATTGTACATTAGATTATAAGTTTAATTAATCAAATATAATATAAGTTTACCTCCAATTCAATTAATATAAGTAATTTTAACTTCGTAAACTAGAATTTTAATAATACAATTTAGGATAAAGTTTTGTCAACGCACATTTTAATTCGTCTACTTTGTGTCTTTGTTCACTTGTAAACAGTCATTGTCCGCTGGTACTCTTTGTCCGGATTGAAGGTTTACATCAACGTCAAAGCTATCCGTTATCCGTATTCAATGCCTAACGTTACGGATCGACGGTGCAAGGTGTGTGCTTGCAAGGTGAGGACTGTCGCGAACAGTTGGAATAAAATTTATCTGTGCTTGTTTGTCCATATTCAAAACCACAAGCCCCCAACGACCACACAAAATGCTCTCCAGAGTTGTAATCTTGTAACCAAAATTGGAAGCAGGGGTGCAAGTGATTTTGATTGAATCTCTTAATCAACTTTCTCTTTGAAAAAAATTAATACAAATTTGGTACACCTACAATTCAAAAACGGAACGAGTTGAGATAATAGATAATTGATCAATTAAAAGAACTAAATGCTCTTCACATTCATTCCGTCCACTAGCGGTCCTACGTCAAGCTTCCGTTCGTGCCCCTAGTGACCCTTCTACTTTTTTTGGTGGTCCTTCGAAAATGTCGAACAGCAGAATTGCAACCAGCAATTGTAACCCAATGACTATGACTATGACGACGACTGAATTAAGAGGCTTAGAAGTAGAGGGGTGAAAGTCAATTCTCTTCATCGATGTCCGCTTTTGATGACCATGGCTTCACTAACCTATTTCTGCTATGCTCTTCTATCATCCAGAACAATAAACGTATCAATGAATGTGTTTGCCGTCGAGTTATTAACGAAACAGAAAGTCGATGAAGAGAATTGATCAAAATCACTTGTACTCTTACTTCCTAGTTTGGTTACAAGATTACAACTCTGGAGAGCATTTTGTGTGGTCGTTGGGGGCGTGTGGTTTTCAATATGTCGATGAGTGTGCAAAATGTTACGCAATTACATCCTCCCTATTCGCAAAGATCGGAGGTGAATACCAATTCGACTTATTTCGTCTATTAACAATAATCTTATGATAGTGTTGGGGAAGCAGCATATGCATGTACGTAATTGGTGGATTTGTTAGTTATTTCGACGCTTTTGGATAATGATTGACATTCACCATTTTTTCAATAGTTTCTTGTTGAAAATCAACAGTCGGATGCGAATCGATCCGTAGAAATATTTCTGATTGATTGGTGATAAAATAATTGAAATTGGTCAAGGGGTAGCTGAGTTATTAACGTTCAAAATCTTTCATAATTTAGTTACGTGATCCATTTTTGGTTTTCACAAAGTTTGCCCCCATATATAAATCACAGACGTAGTCCTACGTCAAAAATACGATAAGGAACAAAACTACCAATTTTCATGAAATTCTGAGAACCACTATATCGTTTTGCTAAAGTAAATTCAGAAAGTCGAATATCAAAATTAGCATTATGGAAAATTATGATTGACTACAACTTTGTTTGTACTTGAGCTGGAATGAGAAATATCTTGAATAAATATTTCCGAAATTCGAGTTTGCCATCGTCTTCAGAAAAATAGAATTCTATATTTTGCTCGGCTCTGATTTCCTGCATAGATATCTACAAGATCATTCCAACCCGTTACAACTCGTGATCCATAGTTATTAGATGCTAATTACAAACCGGTCGGTCGAGCGTCAAGGCCGTCATCGACATTCCAACTGCAATCGTCCTGCCTAACAGATAAAAACCCGTCCGGGGCTTCAACGTAAACTGCCCAGAGCACCCTCTTCCAACCAACCCTTGACATTTGGCACCGATGCAGCAGTGTGCGTCGTTTCTAACCTCAATCAAAGGCAACAACCGAATGTGACTCACACGCCCGTTTGCCTACAACTAGCGAAACCAAAAAAAAAAAAAAAACCGTCTCAAATGATATTTTTCTGATATAAAACACAAAAATATTACGATCATCAACCAAGTGCTCTACTCGCACACTTTATGGCGGCGGGTTTTACTGGCCTGCGGTAATTGTAGGATTTAATTGCTCCCCGTTGACAGACGATGATGTGTTGCTGTTTCGATGTGAATGCGAACAATTTGCACCGGAGAAGATCATCCTCTTAAAGATGGTGTAATCTTTTATATGGTCGGACGGTGTATCAGCAGATATTCGTGTTTTGGATAAAAACTAAGCGCTGAAGGTCGGTACTTATACAACACGGCTTCGGTCATTGCTGCGAGTCGGACATCAGTTACATTAGCATCGTGAAACTTCTTATGCTGAAAATAGAGCAAACAACCTCTGAAGAGTGTTTGATGAGTACTCCTCGTTAACGCCTGTAAATTACCGGGTGCTCTTAATATGCCGGAAGCCGATCATTAAATTATGACTGAAACAAATCTGAACAACAACAACTTGGCGGGGAAAATCCCAACCGGGCACGTGGTTTCGCTTGCATTGTTATGAGCCCATTGCATAACAGCTGTCGAACTTTAGTCACACCTCGAGAACACATCTGCCGACGGACGGATGGGGCAAGATTATGCAAGTCCCATCTAATCTTCCCGATGATTATCGCGAGAAAACAACCTGAAAATATCCTCCTAGTTAGGATGAGTAAAGCGAAGGGGGATCAAGAGAAAGGTCAGCCTCCGGTGGTCGCCTAGGCTCCAAGATACCACCTTCATCGTCGTCACAAATCACGAAACGAGGTTAATTGAGGTGGATTTATTGCCGCCGACGGTGCTGGCTTAGGAGGTAGGCTTGCGTGTACATTTACACAGATGGATGTGTGGGGATTTGAATTAGCCATATTGCACCTAGTCGGCTGAAGGGTGAACTATGGCTGAGATTGGTCGGTGCGGTGCGGTGTGACAGGTATCTTCTGAGGCTCATTTTTCATAATATTGCTTGGAATTGTATTTGGTAGCTGGAGCTTTCGAATGGAGCTATCAGACCTATTCGAATCGGTCGAGGAGGATTGAGTGAATAAATCCAGCGATTATTGGTATTTATCGATCAATTATCGTGATTTGTTGATGTGTTCTTCAGTCGATTGCTTATTAGGGTGTAAATATGATTTCCTAAGATGATTGCTTTATTTCAGTAGTAGATAAGTATCATACATAGCATTCAACACATTAAAATTGACTGTTTTCTACCCATGAACGCCCAAGGTGTTTTACAACTGAGAATGGAGCATACCATTGGAGCAGTTTAAAAAGACGTTTGCGACCACTCGCACTTTGACGTCAATCTCTCCAGC